AGTGTGTAAGTTCTAATAGTTAGAACTACTAAAACATTTTATTTGAGTTCTAGTTTGAAAGTATTATATGGCTTCTTACATTTCTGAATTTCAGCCAGGATAGAGGTATGTTTAGTTATACCTACTTAAATAGAACTCTCACTTCTGTGAGCCCTCAGTAAATCTAGCGTTGTCAGGTAAATAAATTCACCAGGAAGATCATCTCGGGTTACTCACTTTGTTTACTTATGGCCTTTGTTTATTTTCCTGTCCAGGTGAGAACTTCGTTTCCCAGTTACTTGTCTAAGTGGTTTAAATGCTAGGCACATCTCACAGCTGAAGAATCCGTGCATAGCACCAGGCTTACTTTCTATTCACAAAGACTGACAATGCTAATGATGGGTTTTCCCTGGATATTTACAAAGTCACTTGTTGGTTTGTATCTCTGTGGCATTTCCATAGTAGAGGAATTATTTACATGTTACTGTTTCACATTTCCAGTGGTAGGTTTGTTTTTTTTCTTTTTGCTCTACTAGGAAAGGTATAACGTAGGTGGTGAAGAAGCTTAGAGGAAGAATGTCATGAAATTGTCCTTTGTTAGAAGACTGTCCCCATCACCCATTTTTCAATCTTGTAAAAATGTTTGTGTGTTTCCGCATAGGAAATAGAATGTGTCATTAGGAAGCATTAGGGGAGTTATTTTAAAGGCAGATTTTAAAGAGCCTTAATCACAAATGTTTTATGCATGCTGAAAACCTAAGTGAGAAGGGAGTATAGATTTGTGTTGCTGAAATTTTCCTCTTTGTTGTCTTCCATCTTGTTGGCGTGATTAAATATTTAAGTGTATCTGCTGAAACAAATAGGAACTCAGCGTTGTGATGGAAATACTTTAGCAGCCATGGACTATCCCATCTTTTATTTCTCGTACAGCTCTCTGCATTAACTAGTGGTAATGACCTGGCAATAGACTGTTTGAAATGGCATAGTGTTTTTTTTCCCCCTTCACATAGATTGAGATAGTTATTTCTTACTACAGCCTGTTTTTATTGCCATATAAGTTTTTCGAAAAGTGTTTCTTGGCTCAGTCAAATTTGTATCCTTGTAAAAATAACATAATGCCAGAAAAAAAATGTATACACTGGATAAAATAAGAAAAAATAGCTCTTTTATTGGACTATAAGTTTTGAGTTTCTTCCCAGGTTTATCATGTACTTTGTTTTGGGGAAAGTTTGGACAGGAAGGTGGGAGTGAGCACGATAGGTTAGAATGTGTCTCAGATTTTCCCCAAGGTTGCACCAGCCTATGATGGCCTATGGTACCTATGATAGAACAATATTATGAAACCACAGGAGTGATTAGTGGATGATTAGTGATTATTGCTGATATTATAGAACAGCTATTAGAAACTGACTCTTTGTTTGGCCTCAAAGGAAACTAAAATCCAGGTAATTTAAGTGATATGTCCTTCGTCACAGAGCTAGTTAGCAGCTGAGCTGGAAATAGTGCTTGGGTTTCTTGCTTCCAAGTCCAGAACTCTCTTCCGTATGTCTTTCATACAGATATGATGAATTTCCATTACAGACAACTCAGTAGAATTTTTGTGATGAATAATGGCTAAGCAATTATCACTAGCCTCCCCAACCTGATGGGTTGAAAGCATAATTGAGAGTTTAAGAATATAAATTTTTCCTAAATTTCTACTAAATGATCTTTGAAACAGCCTTTGGATAAAGGGAATAGATATTTCAATCGTGATTCTCCTGATTAGAGCGAAGTGTTGAATATCCATATGCTGGGTCTGATAAATTGATACGGAATGAATAATGAACTGTTCTGCATTTTAACTGCCAGTTCATTGGCTTCAATTCTTTAGTTTATAACCTGGATTCCCCATTCTGTCTCCCACAAATCTCAAATGAAGAGGCATCCTTTAGTATATTTTGAGTCTTCTAAACAAAATAGTTCAGTTGGAGGTTGATTCTACAATCCCTCTAGTGTCGCTAGATTAACCAAGCCCCTTGCTTTAAGTTTGCTCTGGGAATAAGTAGAAGCCTTAGTAGATAAATAGAAGTAGGAAACCCAGAGGCATAAAAATTATTGAAAAAATAGCCAGATACTTTTTCAAAGGAAACAGATAGAAATACGGTTCAGAAGCTTACTCCCACAGGACATTGCTCAGTCATCTGCTTTGGCTCTTTGAAATGCTTGCTGTCATTGTAATTATTTATAAACTTGTGCTTTTTGCACTGTTAGGAATGTAAGCTTTAGAACATCTTTTATTACTAAGGCTTTCTAGCTCTAGTGAGTACATAATCACTGTTGAAATTCATAAGATCCTATAATCTTTTTCTATAATCTTTAATGCCAATTTTAATAAAATATTTCTGGAGATAATAAAATTAAATATCATATAATACATTAATGGCAATAATAATTATGTTGCTGCTGCCACTTCTACTACCAGGATAAAGAGGTGGGGGAGAAGGAAGAAGCACTTATCTTGTATAAGGCATTGTGTTGAGCACTTTACAAAAATCATGTCAATGTAATCCTTATACAACGTTATCATCATCTCCATTTTACAAGGAAGTGTTGTATAGCTAAGCCCCTTGCCCACAGTCATGCAGCTAGCAGCTAGCTCAAATTCCTGAGCTCACACTTTTAACCATTATGGCATATATTGGTTTATCACGCAGTCCTGGGGTAGGCTGTGGAACTTCTGCCTTCTGTTTCAAAGTATTATGTGCATCCCTTGGTTTAGTTCAAGGAAAAAATTAGAATGTTATATATAAGTTTTGTTCATGCACAAATTTTTAAACAATTCTCATAAGAAGAAACAGGTATGTTTAATTGTTATTAATGATCAGATTAGGGGAAGAAATTATGCAGATCTTTTAGAAAAATAATTACGGGTAGTGCCAATGAAGGTTCCTGTTAATAAACTGTTTTACTATCAGGTACTGAAAAATTGCACAGAGCTTTGTCATATCATAACTTATGACAAGTTATTATGTCATTTTTAACTGGAAAATGGTATAATGAATTATTTATAACCATCCCAGAATTGAAGCTAATATAGTTTTTCACTAAAAAGATTATACTGTCTTCCACATACACATCTTCTTTGTGATGAATGATTAAGTTTTATATATTAATTTTAAATAATTGAGTCAATGTTATGATTTACAGTGACTTAAAAATTGCGTTTTTATATTTTAATATGAAATCTTAATATGCTATTTAACAAGTAAATAACTTTTTATGTACATAATCTTTATTTTATTACATTGTAAAACTAGCTATATATGTTCACCAGAATTTTCTATTTCAGTTTTCTGAAAAGCATAATTAATTATCTAATAACATAATTGTTAATTAACTTAGTCATTATTTTAATTAGCATTTTGGTAAATTCCTTTTACTAATTTTCTCTTCTCTGACACCTCTCACAATAAAGTAGTGATATGTAGAAGGAATTGGTTGAAAGAAAGACAGTATGAAAAGAACATGACTATATAAAGAAAACCAAGTGTCATGTGATTACTATTTGTTAGTCTTAGAAGTTATAGCAACACATCATAACTATGGGGTGATTTGTTACCTATTTTCCAAGAAGGTTAAAGGGAGAAATATCCATTACTTGTGACAGTATTTCCATGGTATGATGGCATCATTTATTCTGGATATTTTCTTGTTCAGAGAAAGAAATTAGAGAATCTTAAAAGATGGTGGTTGTTCATTTTATTTTTAGCTTTCATTATTATTGTCAACCATAGCATGTGCATGTTTGAGACAATAATGATGATGGAAATCTTAATATCACCATCATTAAATAGAGAAGAGTTAGTTGCTCAGTGACCAACATTTGAAAAAGAAACCTGAGTTTTCAGTTTTTCCGCTTTGTTACCTTGGGCGAGTCTTTCCATCTTTTTGAGTCTCAGGTTTTTTAGCTGAAAAAATAATAAGTTGTACTAACCAATCTCTATGATTAAATTCTGCTCTGCATGTTTCTTAACTTCCTTATGCTTGCTAGCAGAGAACCTTCTTTACCTGATCTCTTAGAAAGAAAAATGATACAAAATCAAATTTTGTAGCCAATGGCCCAGTCATAGAGGAATATAGGGATGTGTGTTGTCTTTTCCATTTCGCTCAGCTGTGTTTTCTGTAATAGATGTACACAGTATCCCATGTAATTGGTGCAGAGGGGCTGTGGCTTCTGCTGTTGCAGAGGTGTGGAGGCTGCCAAACAGGGCCCTGACCCGTGATGCTGAGGCCACTCCTGCCAGCCTGGAGGGGCTTTCACCTTCATGCAGTCAGTTTGGACAATCCATGTACTTACCTTGCAAATTCATGGTTCATTTTCTTTTGAAATTAAAAACTACACCAACATTAACACGCTTTGCTGTGGTTTAAGCAGATTTGTTTAATTAAAACCATTGAAGTAAATAGCAATGTTCGTGGTTTCCAGAAACAGATATGTATGGGCATAGCCCTCCCTTATCCAAGGGGGATGCATTTCGAGATCCCCCGTGGATGCCTGAAACTGTGGATAGTACCGCACCCTATGTATACTGTACTCCTGGTTTTTCTTCTACATACATAGCTATGAGACAGTTTAACTTATAAGTAGTCGCAGTAAGAGATGAATAACACTGATAATAAAATAGAACAATTATAACAGTATATTGTAGTAAAAGTTATATGAATGTGGTCTTTCTCTTTCAAAATACCTTATTATATTGTATATACTGCATGGGGAGGCTGGACAAAGGGATGATTCAGGTCCTGGGCAGGACGGAGCAGGACTCAGCGAGATTTCGTCTTGCTACTCAGAACAGTGTGCATTTTTCAAACTTATGAATTGTTTATTTCTGGGACTTTTCTATTTAATATTTTTGGACCACAGTTGATAGCAGGGTAACTGAAGCCACAACAAGAGAAACCACAGGTAAGGGGGGATTACTGCAATTTAAGGAGAGAGAAGATTCTTACCTTTCCATGTCATTTATGTTTGGTTGCAGAACTTCAGATGGTGGCAAAGTTGTTGGCACCATAGAAGTCAGTGTCGTGAAGATGGGGGAGATTGAGGATGGGGAAGCCGACCACATCACGGCAGATGTGCAGGGACAAAAGGTAGGGTCTCCGCCAGCTCATTGCACAAATTAAATTAGAAAGGATCATCTACACCGGATGTCTGAATCACCAACACCTCTGTGGGGTATGAAATCTCATTCTTCAAGAGCTAAGTGAGAAATCAGCTCCGCAGTCTGAGTACCAGAAGTGTGTTTCAGCCTCTGAAGCTGAGGCTGTTTGCATGGAACTAGGCAAAGGCAGGTGCCACTCAGAAACATCTTCCTCTTCTCTGCCCGCTCCTGTGTCCACGCTGCCTCTTCTCAGTTGATCACGGTTGCACTCTGCCATAATTAACCCTTCAGGAGATGCCCAGGAAATTCTTGGAGGACTATTACCACAAGTAACCACTTCCCTACTCTCAAAATCCTCTTTGGAAAAAGATACAGATTGAACTTAGATTTCATTCTTATGTGAAGGAGGGCAGACTTCTTAACACTGCGCCTTATGAAACTGCAGAGAGAGAAGCAGGGAATTGTCCACGGTGGAGGGGCAGCTCTGCAGGAGGGGCGATGCCCGCTGGAGGCCAAGGGGCTTCCTTGCAGCCCAGGATAAAGGTTCCAGTGCCTCTCACGATGTAGCTGGGAGTCTTACTTGCTTTCTACTCCCTTTTCTGCAGGAGATGAAAACTTGATATCAAGTATTAGCCCAAATTCCTGTCTTAGGAATGCAATTGCCTATTTTATTGAGACATAGGGGACAGGCTTCAAAACGGCTAATAGTTCTTTTCAGGAACATGAGCTTGTGTACACACTGTAATTCCTGCCTTGTCATAAATGAACATTTTTTAAATGACAAGGCTCATTCTGACTTAACTTCTAGCTTAGAGACTCTTATCTGGGAACATTTGAATTTTGTTGGTAAGGAAACATCTACATGGAAGATGGTGTTTATGTAACACTTAATGAATCATTAACTTTACACAATATAAGACTCCTTTTCAAATATACGTAATTCTATAGCAAATATATGTAAGTCTATAGCAAATTTTATAAAAGAAATTTACAAAAGGCAAATTAGCATTTTAGTAAATTCCTTTTACTAAGAAACACTTGTTTCTCTCTGTTCCCCTGCTCTCCCTCGGAGCATATCCCAGATCATGAAAAGATTCCTAGGAGGCCTGGAGTTTGAATCAGGTTGCCTCCAAATGTCAGGGCTATGCTGAAGTTTCATAGCAGATCCTCTTAGGGTTTGTGTAAACAAGACCTGTTTGGGGTTAGTCCCTTTATTTGATCCTCGTGTCCTTTGGAGTTCTATATAAGACCCATCTTAGCACCACATGGATATTTGTATCAAAATTAAGGAGGGTGGATTTTGAGGGTAAGCAGGGTCTGAGATCAGAAATAGGCAGATGACGGTGCCTGGACCTGTGGGCATGAGCCAGGCCAGGAGCAGACACATGTCCCATTTCTAAGTTAGGCTACTTTCCCTGCCTCTGACTCTATCACTAGCTGCCTCTCTGTTCTCAAAGTTCGTCTACCCCTTCATTTCTTTATTGCGTTTCTATTCTGGGATAGCGCAAACTGAATCCTGATCTTTTCATAACCGGAGAACTCGATACGCAGGGATATGCCCCACCCAAGTCCTACTTTATGTTTCTGACTTAGTCATGTGAACTTAAAAAAAGAGACTTAACCGAGCTCTTATAGAAATAGGAGGTGGCGGTGTCAGCACAAACCCTGTACGAGTCACAGGTGACAGAAATGGTAAACACAGCGAGCTTTGTCGGCAGTACCTTCGTCCTGCCTGATACTTAGTAAACCTTGACCTTTTGCAAATTTCTTTTATAAAATTTGCTATAGACTCTGTTGGCAGTCCCGGGGAATATTGGTGATTGAACAGAGAACATGGAGTAAGTCCACTCTGCATGACATTTAGGAGAGTCATGTGGAAATAACTTTATCTCAGTGCTTTCAAAGCATGGTCAGGATCATCTTGGGGTGTTTGTTAGAAATGCAAACGCAAACACCCTTTTGCAGATGCACGAAATCAAATCAGTGAGGTGTATTAACACAGTTTGTTACTGATGGAGATTTAACTCCCAAAGTTAGTGAATGACTGAAACATATGAAAGGACAAAGTCACTGAAAGAAAGGATATCCTGAAAATAGCATCCCTTTCACTGGTTTGCATTTATGGCAGAGAAAGACAAGAAACTACACTTAGACCCATAGTCATGTGAGTACATGACACATCATCTCTCATGTATATTGAAGCAGATAAACTATTAATACCCATATTAATCAGCTGAGCTGCCATAATAAAATATCATAGACTGGGTAGCTTAAACAGAAATTGATTATCTCACAGTTCTCAGATTAAAGTTCCAGATTAAAATGCCAGATGATTCAGTTCTTAGCGATAGCTCTCTTCTGTCTTGCAGGCTTCTTGCTGTGTCCTCACATGGTCTTTCCTCGGTGCAGGTGCACAGACAGAGAGGGTGAGCTCTGGTGTCTTCCTCTTGCAGGACACAGCCCTATCAGATTAGGACCCCATCCCTATGACCTCTTTTAACCTTAAGTACCTCCACAAAGGTTCTATCTCCAAATACAGTCACATTGGGTGTTTGGGCTTCAACATATTAATTTTAAGGAACACAGTTCAGTTCATAATAATACCTCTGATATAAAATACTGCATTTTAATTTTGAATTTTACATAGCCTTCAGAGCATGAAGTAAAATATAAAAAAAAATCCAAACTCTCTCCTCTCACATACATTTACTTACTTGTTTCCTCAGATCATATTTTTATTATTATATTTATGTTTCTCATCCAGGGAAGATAGAGCAGAGGGTCATTCACCATATTACCCTATTTCAAACTTTTAGTTGATATATGTATACATAGAACTAGAAGACAACGTGTTACTATCACATAGCAGTAGAAAGAAAATTCACAAAAGAAATACGAACACTGTCCTTTTACAAATCCAATATATTAGGTGAAATGTTGCATTAGGTATCCAAACTTTAAAAAAAAAATTTGAAGTCATTTTTTACTCATTTCTTTGTCTCATATTCACAGTCAATATGTCAGTAAATCCTGTTGATTGTGACTTCTAAATAAATCCAGAATTGAGGACTCAGGACCCTTTCCCTGTTACCAACATTGACTGTCACCTACATTTTCAGTAGTCTCTTAAATGTTTCCCTGATTCCCTCCTTCCTCCTCCCGGCACTGCCCCCCACCATAGTCTATTTTCAGCAGAGCACTTACTAAAATGTAACACAGAATGTGCCATTCCTCCTGGCTCCTTAACTCTCTGAAAGTATGAATCCAAAGCCTTCCAGTGACCTGACTTAAAGTTCCTAAATTCTCAAAAATTCATGAGTGTCATGTATGTATATCGTATATGTATATGTATATGTATATGTATATGTATATAAAAGAGAAATATGTAAATTGGTCATCACTTCGCTACACACACCAGCTAATCAGGATGAGTATGCAAATTAACCCAACAAAGATGGCAGTTAATTTGCATATGCAGGCACGGAGTGAAGACTGAAGATGATACGCAGGCACAGAGTGAAGACTTGGCTTCTCCGCTGCGGCCGCAGAGGAGAAGCCAAGCCTTGCTGCGGCCGGACCAAAGGCCTGGGTCCCAGGTGCTGGAGGAAAACCGGTACCAGCAGCCAGGGGAAGGAAGGCCTATTGCGCGAATCTTCGTGCAACGGGCCTCTAGTATATCTATGAATCTTCATGTAATGGGCCTCTAGTATATCTATATCTATATCTATACAGATAGATAGATCTATATCAATATATCTATATAGCTATATCATCTATATCTATGTCTATCTCTATATCTATATCTATAACTATAACTATATCTATATCTATATGTCATCTATATCTATATCGTCTATTTCTATCTCTATATCTATCTATATATATCTATAATCCATCATTACCGGTACCTTCAGTGGTTGTGATTCTCAAAGGGGGCAGTGCCTGGGGAAGGAAGGGTGAAGGGAGACAGACTGGACAGTTAGGAAATAGCCCAAGCAATTCTGATACCCCATTTGGGGGAGAGCGGTCTGAGTCAGAGGAACCTTCTGAGGAAGGCCGAGCACTCCAGAATGGTGGCTGTTTCCCACAGAACTCATCACCAGAAGAAATTGCTGGTTTTTTGTTTGTTTTTGTTCAGTTTGAAATATTTGCTCTGAAAATTTATTGTTTTCCTTCCCCCGGCTTTTTTTTTTTTTTTGGCTAGAGATAGAAGGAAACTCATGTGAAGAAACAAATCCTGGTGTTTGTATGAAAATAGGTCTCTTGTCAACCTCCTGGGGTCAGAAGAGTTTTGCTTCCTCTGTTAGTTACAGCTTCATGGGAAGCTGAAGGACAGTCCCACGCTTACTAATAGATTGTCTGGGATACTGTCTCCCACTCGAGGTTTGCTCACCAGGAACATGGCATTGTGCTCCTCTAGGCCTCTTCTCTTCTGTGGAGACAAGTGTGGGCTTTGTAAGGGCTCATGGCCTTGCCCATCTCTGGATCAGCTTATTTGTAAATTGTCCTCATACTGTATGAGCAGGTGTTTGCACTGTTTTGCTGGAGACAAAACTCTCCTTTTCCTTTATGTAATTAAATACTACTAAATATACTAAATACTAAATTATATATATATATATACACACATATATGATTTAAAGTTGCCTTTGCTTAAAATCTAGAAAATAATTTGCTTTTTATTGATTCAAAATCATTTCAACTGTCAGAAAAACAAAATCCTTCAGCTTGTCAAATCTAATTTTCTGTATTAGGAACATTTGTGGACAGTCCTTTCCCAGATTTTACTTTTGTTCCTAAGTGGCCATTAACTAAAACCAAAATGTACTCTATGACCATATAATACAATCATATTATAAATAAATAATCACAAGTTAAGCAAGCTTCATGATAGAGATAATGCTGAAAATAGTGTTACAAAATGTATTGTTCAGAATTTTTTGATACTATGTGAACAGCCTCTTGTTCTGCAAACAAAATAATTTTCTTATTTTGATTACTTTCAACTGTTTTCCTTTTTCTTGTGTTCTTCCCTAGTGTGCACTTGTATGTGAATGTTCAGCACCAGAGAATGTGAGCGGAAAAGACAACTTACCTTTTCTGAATGCAGGTATGTACCTCCGTTCTGGAAACTTGCATTAATTTCATATGAGCATACATTTTAATTTCCTGTGGAGTCAACGCTGAGCCTGGGCAGCATTCTCATAGAATCATTTGTGAACACTTAGTCATTGTATCAGTAATTGTGATCAGCCAGGAGAGTGGGGGGAGACTTGACAGTTCCACAAGAATGATGCATAAATACCTTGGCTAAATGACAAATTCCTGTTAGCTGTTTGATTTTATGTTCTCTGAAACAAGACACACTGGAAAACAGAGTAAATATTAGAAATGTGAAGTTCTTAATTATTTTGACTTTCTAATTATAGAACTCAAAATGAAGTTGCTAAAACAGTAGATATATGGATTCAGTAGGAAAAATTCATACACATATCTGCACATTCTTGGGTGTGTATGTATGTACTGTTTTACTTACCCTATATAATAAAAGGGTAATATGCAAGTTGAACAAATGGTGAAACAACTGGTCGCTATGACACGCACTGACCACCAGGGGGGCAGGCGCTCAAGTATTAGCTGCCCCAGCCCACAGGCCCTGATCTCCCAATCGGGGCCTCCTGGCCAACCTCTCGGTCCCTTCCCCCAGCAGGAAGTCTCTGATCACCTGATGGCGAATGGGGAACCAGGAACCGGGGTGGGTGGTGAGAAGGGGCGGGGCTGTCTGCCTGCAACCAGGGAAGTTGGCCCTGATCGCAGGCGATGCCTAGGGACTGTACCCGTGCAAGAATTTCGTGCGCCAGGCATCGAGTAGTAATATATTTGAATTTCAACAAGGTACTAAACAATGTGTTAAATTATGAGCTTATGAATAAAACTGATATATGGTACAGTTCAAAATGTGTCATAAAATGTATATGTAAATTATGAAACTAATATTTAAATAATAATATAAATTATTATACCACTAATAATAGTAAATAATGACTATTACAATGACAGGCACTGTGCTCAATGCCTTGTATGCCTGTCTTACCTTGATTTCTGACATCTGACATGTGCTATGAAGTAGGTACTATCATTACCCCATGTGACAGCTGAGGCAATTGGTCAAGTTCATCTACTTAGCAAGTAGCAGGTTCAGAATTTAAATACAGTTTCAATCCCAAGGCCTTTGCTCATAATTACTAGGCTGTGCTATTACTAAAAAAACACTAATTAATATGTTGGTATAACAACAGAAGAAGCTTTAATGTTTTTCTAGCCCTGTCTTGATGTACATTTAAACAAAGACATACATAACATTATAATCAGCTGAATGAATGATACCATACTTCAAAGGCTTACTAGTACATAATCCCAAACTATCAACAGTTGTTCCCTGAAGGAAGACACTAATAATAGAGAATGGAAATGTAAAAAGAGAAGGCGACCATTTGACTGTGTTTATATGTACAGAGAACTCAAAATAAAATTTAACAATAACAACAAAACATTAACTACACGTATGTAGAATGAGGGATTATACCAAAGAAGAGCAGCTCCTCCTAAACTTATGACCAAATAGCATTCTTTAAAAATTTTTTAATTTTACTTAGGATGTAATATTAGAGGGATATTCATTAAAAAGTGAAGGGTCTACCCAATAGTTAGATCAGCCCTGGACCATAAAAGTACTTGATATATTATTCGTGTGGTTAAAATATCTAATGTATCCTCAAAGGGTCCTCCTCACATTTATTTCTCTACCTGAAGGTTAAATAAACCTTTAGTCCTTTATTGTAATACTAGGGGCCCGGTGCACGAAGATTCGTGCACTGGGTGAGGGTGGGGGAGTGGGGGGGCGGTCCCTCAGCCTGACCTGCACCCTCTCCAATATGGGAGCCCTCAGGGGAGCCCTCTCCAATCCTGGAGTTTCTGTCTGTCTTTGCAATCATATGAGTGAATGGTCTGAGACCCCCCAACCCAGTTGGGTTTGTTGTTCACAGAATAATAGAGGCTTTTTTTTTTCTTTGCTCCATTGGTGGAGATTTCCTGGATGTTTTAGGATATCTTCCCTTTAATTTTTCCTAGACACTCTGACTTTACTTATGTCTCTCATCTTTGCTTTCCCTCCATCCCCCACTGCAACAGTAACTTGCTCCAGGCTCACTTTGCTACTGTCTAGGAGAACTATGAATCCCAGCATTCCTGGTACTCCCTGCGCTCTGGGCTTCTTCTTCCGGCCCTGGGGCTGCTACCAAAACTACTATTCCCAGAATTCCTGGTGCTCCCCACACTCTGGGTTTTCCCCGACCAAGGGAGCCATGTCCCCCAAAGCCTCTGGCTCTCCTGCTCTGTTCTCCATCTGGTGACCAAGGGAGCCATGTCCCCCCAAGGGAGCAACCGAGGGAGCCACATCCCCACAAGCTGCCTGCTCTCCCACACTGCTCTGTGTATGCACATTATTTGCCATCTTTGTCGGGTTAATTTGCATATGCACTCCTCATTGGCTGGTGGACGTGGCTTGGGCGTGGCTTGAGCATAGGGGAGGGATGGCTAATTTGCATGTTTCTCTTTTATTATATAGGATATCCAGATAATCTATTTCATTTACTAAATGTCAGTTTTGAGAAACAAAACAGAGTGTGAGAGATGTTAAGTTCATTTTCAATACAATTTGAATGAATCAAGTTATCACCAAAATCGTGTACACTATACGATAATTTTTAAATGACTTACTCTTGCAAACCTTGTAATTTTTTATGCACACAAAAAGAAATGCCATTTTGAAATACTGATTGATTTAATATAAATTTCAAAGAGAAAGAGAAAAATGTCTTAAGTAAGGGAATATATTATCTGAGGAAGCAGAGGCAGAGGGAACGTAGTAAAAAATAAATCACCTCCTATCACTTGGGCGGTAAAATCTATAAGGCATGAGTCTTGGAATTGCAGTAACTCTTCCAAATTACGAGGGTTCTATTCCTAAAGTGTAAATTGCAATATGACAAAGACAGCTGCCATGGAATTGATGGGAGCAGCTGCATTCTGCAATTCAAATATGCTCCCTTAGTGGGGTGAGAGATGATTGATTACTGCTTTTCTCTTTTCATGGCAGTGACAGTTTTGGTGGTGATACTCCACTTAGTTCCAATGACACTTTTCAACCTCCTTAGTCTAGTCAACCAGAGGAGCACTCAGAACCTAGGATATTTGCCACACACATTTTCTCTTAGCCTTCTTTTATTAGGCAGAGATAAGACTAGATGACAGTCAAATGTTATAAAAGATAGATTTTTTTTGTTTTTAAAAAATATATATATTTTTTATTGATAACAGTATTACAAATGTCTCCCCTCCCCCCATCACCCTCCATTCAGCCCCTCCCCCCTCCAGGCCTTCACCACCCTATTGTCTCTATCAATGGGCTATGCATATCTATATATATAAAAGCCTAAGCGACTGGTCGACTGGTTGCTATGATGTGCACTGACCACCAGGGCAGACACTCAATGCAGGAGCTGCCCCTTGGTGGTCAGTGTGCTTCCACAGCGGGAGCACTGCTCAGCTAACTGACAGGTGCCAGACACCATGCTCGTGGCTGGCGAGTGCCACTATGGTGGCGCAAACCTCTCCCTAATGGTACTGACTGGGCGTGAGCCTGCAGCAGGTGCTGTGGGGTCAGGATGAGCAGGAGTGGTGTGGTGCCAGGCCCTGGCTCAGGCTCCTCCCCAGCTGCCTGCCACTTCGAGCACTACTACATCCCCCAAGGGGTCCTGGATTGCGAGAGGGCACAGGCCAGGCTGAGGGACCCCACCAGTGCATGAATCCATGCACTGGGCCTCTAGTAAGTATATAAGTTCTTTGGTTTATCTCTTCTCATCCCCCCACCCACACACACCAACAAACATCAAGTGCTGGCTAGTATATGGAGAAAAGGGAACACTAGTTTATTGCTGGTGGGAATGCAGTATGGAATTTCCTCAAAAAATTAAAAATGGAACTGCCATTTGACCTAGCAATCCCACTTCTGGGAATATATCCTAAAAACCCCAAAACACCAGTCAGAAAGAATATATGCACCCCTATGCTAGTAGCAGCATCTATAATAATAAAAGCATAATATGCTAATTAGACCAGATGTCCTTCCCGACATCCTTCTGGACCACCTTCTGGATGAAGCAGGGACAGTGAGGGAAGCCTGGGTCCTGGGTGCCTGCTGGCGGCCAGAGGGAAGCCCCGGGTCCCGGGTTCCTGAGGGAAGCCCAGGTCCAGGTGCCAGAGGGAAGCCAATGCTGGCAGCCAGGGGAAGGAAGGCCTACTCTTGCACAAATTTTGTGCATCAGGCCTCTAGTTATTTATAATAGCTAAGATTTGGAAATAGCCTAAGTGCCCATCAGTAGATGAACGGATTAAAAAACTGGTACATTTGCCAATGGAATACTATGCAGTTGTGAAAAATAAGCATCTTTTACCCTTTGAGACAGCATGGATAGGCCTGGAGACTATTATGCTAAGTGAAATAAAACAATCAGGGAAATACAAATATCACATGATCTCACTTATTTTTAAAATTTTTTAAAATTAAATTTATTAGGATAGATCCGTTAATAAAGTTATATAGGCTGCAAGTGTACAATTTTATGATACATCAACCATTGAATTCACTGTGTACTAGATTTTTAAAAGTATGAAAAAAACAACTAAGTACAACCATAAAATGTTTCTGTTCAGAATATAAAAATGCATTGTGCAGGTATAGAATATGTATGAATTTGGCCTGTGTGTGCCTTTGTCTTTTGTTCTATTTATTTATCTATCTACACTCGGCAACTTTGGAATGAATCCATTATATTCCCATCTGGCATTTTTAAAAATCTGTAGGCAAAGGGAGCTATTGACATCCTTCTCAGCCTGTGCCTTCATGTATTGTGTGGAACTTGCCAGCCTCCAGTGAGTTACGAAGCACTTATTGAGTGAGAAGAAGAGAATGTCATATCTCTCAGCAGCTCTTCCCTATTCTATTTATATCTCCAGAGGCTTCATTTATAATTCAGGAAATTCACTTAT